AGCGGCAGGCGGCTCGGGCGGCTCGGGCAGGTCGGGCAGCTCGGGTGGCGCGGGCGGTGTAGGGCCGTAGGGCCGCTGGTAGGGCGGTGGGGCCGCAAGGTAGGTGGCGGGGCCACTGTGGGAGGCGGTGGGGCCGCAGTGTGAGGCGGCGGGGCCGTAGCGAAGAACGGCGGGGCCGTAGCGAGAGGGGCGGCGGGGCCGCAGAGACGGGCGGCGGGGCTGCAGTGAGAGGCGGCGGGGCCGCAGCTAGAGAGGCGGCGGGGCCGCGGAGACGGGCGGCGGGGCCGCTGAGACGGGCGGCGGGGCCGCAGTGAGAGGCGGCGGGGCCACAGCGAGAGAGGCGGCGGGGCCGCAAAGACGGGCGGCGGGGCCGCTGAGACGGGTGGCGGGGCCGCAGTGAGAGGCGGCGGGGCCGCAGCGAGAGAGGCGGCGGGGCCGTGGAGACGGGCGGCGGGGCCGCTGAGACGGGCGGTGGGGCTGCAGTGAGAGGCGGCGGGGCCGCGAAGACGGGCGGCGGGGCCGCTCAGACGGGTGGCGGGGCCGCAGTGAAGGGCGGCGGGGCCGCAACGAGAGAGGTGGCGGGGCCGCAGAAAAGGGCGGCAAGGCCGCTGAGACAGGCGGCGGGGCCGCAGTGAAGGGCCGCTAGGGCGGCTCGACGAAGTGAGGGCCCGGAGCGCGACTCGGGCTGAGCGCGCTTCGGGCAGGAAAAAAAACTCGATGTGGTTGGCCCTAAGCACAGTTCCCAAGGGGGAACCTGCTCGATACCATGAGAAGATTAGAACGAGAATGGGTGAACTATGAAATGAAGTGAGTACAAATATGAAACCCTAATTGGTTGTACCCCCTATGGGATACCCCACTATAGCCTACACAACAGCATAAGCTATAATGTTCTGACAATAGCAAACCCTAACAGGGTTATACTCACTATAGAGTACCCCACTGCAGACTAGACAACTACAACATTCTGACACTGCTCTGGCTGCACGTCGCCCTGCTCTGGCCGCGCGCCGCCCTGCTGCTCTTACTGCTACTGCCTTCACTCTGTACTGCTACTGCTCTATGAATTTCAACATTTTATGGTTTTATACATTACACCGTCACCACCACATTTTGTTTGTAGGTACATTCCCACTACTATGCTCATCTTGAGGATTTTATGTTGGGCCGTTTCACACGATATTGTGATGTAGTAACGTGCAAGAAAATGTAAAAATTTAAAAGTGTGTGACACTTTTCAAAAATTGTGTATTGTGAAAGTGTAGCGATTGCCAACGCAGCAAAGGCAGCGTCGCATCGCTACTTGCCCTCCTTTGGTTACAAAAGAGGGGGTTGAGGCCATTTGGCCTCACCCACATTCTTCTTTTCAATTTCGAAGTTCGAGTTTCCCACCCTCCCACCCATATACTACCGTCACCCCCCGGATATAAGCGCCACTCTGGGATAAGCGCCAGGTGCTTGTAATTGGCATATGGCGCTTATATCTGCTCCTCGATTATAAGCGCACCCCCTGAAAAAAAACTTATTTTATAAGCGCATGTGAACCATAAATTTTGAAATTGGTTCAAAACACTGTAACGAATTTCACTTTAGCATGCGGATGTGTTGCAATTTTGGTTCTCTTCACATTTGAATCCTGCACTCGATGCGAGTCCAGTCAGCAGGAGCTGCCAAGGGCACACTGTGAATTACATCGAGTGTATCCCTAGCGCGCGCGAGAATTTCACTGAAGACCCCATGTAACTTCGACTCGATTGAAAATGCAAGCACGAGATCTACAGTTTGGTGTTAGGAAATATGAATTATATATAAATAATTTAATAAGCACCTGCGCTTTTAAATTTGACTCAATTATAAGCCCACCCCCGAAAAAACCCTGTTTTATTATACCACCCCATGGGGGCCTATCCGGGGTATGACAGTAATTGTCTCTAGGATTCTTGCTGTAATCGTAGTTATCATTGGACGAAATTGATGTACACAGGGCGTATCCATGTTCGGGTCATGAGCACTGTTCTGGCTACTGTTTGGGTCATGCGGAATTTGCGCATGACCCGAAGTGGGCTGCCGAACCACGCGCGGCCCCAGCTTTGGGTCAATGTGCAGGTGTTGGGGCGACTGACGTGCACGACCCACCCCCCCCAACCAATCACCTGGTTGCACGATTCGGGATTCACTGCCATTTTTGGCGGTCGTCAGTCTGAGTGTCACAAGTGGGCAATTGTCAAGAAAGGAAGTGATGAGGTCATTGATGTGAGTTGGGGTACATATGACAAAAATGTACGGTCATAAGACCAGTCACAAAGATACAAAGCTCAGGGTGGATCACAACGTCACCACACACTCTGAGCACAAGCAACAGTGGCCACAAGGCCAGTCTAAGAGTTCACAAGTGTGTATAGCAAGAGTACAAGCAAAGCAAATAGTAAAATCAAGCCTATACACGACTAGAACCTGTGTCAACAAGGCCTAATTGCTTACAACACCTCTGGTGGTCACAAGGCGGAAGCGCCTTGGTGAAGATGTCTGCAGTGTTGGCCTCGGACTCCACAAACTCGAAGCGAGCCTGTCCACGTCTCTGCAACTCTCGCAGAAGGAAGTACCTGACGTGAATGTGCTTCACTCTGCTCTCCAGTCACGGCTCACGACAGAGGAGAATTGACGCCTTGTTGTCAGTGAACAAGGTCGGTGCAGAGCTCGGCCGCTCACCAAGGTCAGCGAGCAAAAACGTCAACCAACGCAGCTCCTGTGCCGCCATGGCACCAGCATAGATCTCAGCCTCAACTGTAGAGGTTGAGACCGAAGAGGAGCGCGTGGACCGCCACGAAACAGCTCCAGAACCCAAGCTGAAACAGTACCCCTGAGTAGACTAGTGAGTCTCAGCGTCGTCAGCGTAAGAAGAGTCACAGTGACCAGAAATTACGACAGGCTGCTGCCCTCCAAGAACTAGCCCCACGCCTGATGTCGTCGCTAGGTACTTTGCCACCCTCACAGCTGTCGTCCAGTAAACAGGACGGTGCCTCCTTGGCGCAACAAAGCGAGCAAGGACGCTGAGAGGGAAGGCGAGGTCCCGGCGAGTACAAGTCATCAAGTACATGAGGCAGCCCACTAGCTCTGCGTAGGGACCACTGGACTCAAACGGCTCGTCAAGAAAGGGTCCAGTGAGTCTGTGGTCAGCAGCAAAAGGTGTGCGCTGTACTGTGGAGTGCTGAAGCTCGAACCGCTGAAGGACCTGCTGCACCATGTGTGACTGTGAGAGTGTAATGGTGCGAGCAGCTCTGTCCTTGGTGATCTGCAGGCCAAGGTAGTGATGCAGCTCACCAAGGTCAGTGCACGTGTGTCTCTTCTGCAGTTCGGACTTCACGTCTGCCAAGGCAACCCTGTTAGCAGTGGCGAAAACCAGGTCGTCGACGTAGACTAGAACAAAGAGCGGTGTGGAGCCACGACGAACGAACAGCGACAGGTCGGCAGACAACGGCTGAAAACCAAGGTCAGCGAGAGTAGGACGAAGGGTGTCGTGCCACTCACGAGGAGCCTGACGGAGACCGTAGACCTGTCGCCTCAGCTTCCACTGGGTCCCAGGAGGGAAAGTGTCAGTGAAGGCAGAGGGACGACGCACCCAGACCTCCTCGTGTAGGCTACCCGGAAGAAACGCAGTGGAGAAGTCGAGAGAGTGTAACTCGTAGTCTCTCTGTGCCGCTAAGTGCAGTAACACCCGAAGAGTGGTCATCTTCGGGGTGGGCGCGAAGGTCTGAAAGAGGTCAACTCCCTCGCGCTGACTGAAACCTCTAGCTACGTAGCGCGCCTTGAAGACCGGAGGAGATCCCGGTGGCCGCTTCACCCTGTAGATTTACATGCCATTGACTACGTTCGCCCCAGGGGGGGGAACCTCGTCGACGTAGGTGCCTGTGGATCTGTAGGAGGCGATCTCTGCGTTCATGGCAGCTCTCCACTGAGAAGCTCAAGGCCCTGACACTGCCTCAGCGTAAGTGCGAGGAGTCGGTATGTCAAGGGCGTCGGGGTCTCCCTCAGGGGCGAGCAGCATGGCACAGAGATGAGGGGAAGCGGCTGCCAGGAACTCTAGCTCAAACTACCTGTCCTCTAGGGCGTCACAGCCAAGGGCAAGCACACCCCCGACGGCCAGAGGACTGGAAGGAGGAGCGGTCACAAGACTGGTGGCAAAGTCAAGGCGGCGAGTAGAGGCTAACTCAGTGACTGCGGCAGTAAGAGCGGAGACAGAGGACACAGAGGCACGAGGGTGGGTAACAAGAGAGGTGAGAACACGAGAGAGAACAGGACGGTACGTGCGCTAGTGGTCAGTGACAGGAGTAGAAAGCGAAGCAGTGAGGGCCGACTCAGGAGGAGACGGAAGCACAGACGGAGACGGACGAGGCGGACTAGAACGAAATAAGGCAGTACGAAGGTCAGTGAAGGGAACAGGGGACAAGGGACGAGCACGAGGGGAGCGACGAGAGGCCCAAGTCTGAGAAGGAGGAGGGGACAACGAAGACTGAGAATGAGGGAAGACAGCTGGAGAGGGGTCAGGAGGAGGAAGCGGAGGACCCAAGACGGGAGGAGAGGGGGAGGAGGAAGGAGAGCGGGAGGGGAGACCGAGGACCCGAAGACCGGAGACAGGAGGAGGAGGCGGCGGCTGCTGCTGTTGCGGCGGCGGCTGTTGCTGCTGCTGCGACGACTGGTGCTGCTCCTCCTCCTGCTGTAGCGGCTCCAGCTCGTGCGCCTCCTGCTGCTGCGGCGGCTCCAGCTTCGGCTGCTGCAGCTGCTTCTGCTGCTGCTGCTGCTGCTCCTCTAACCGCTGCAACTCTCTCTCCTCTCTCTCCAACTCTAGCTGCTCCTCACGGGCACGGCGAACACGAGCCTGGTGCCGGGTCGAGTAGGGGTGGGGGGGAGGAGTAGTGTTGGGGGCTGCGGCAGCCCCGAGACCGCCCTCCCAAGCACCTGGCGCACCACCCCCAGAGTCACCACCACCAACAGCAACACGATCAGGCTCACCAGGACCCGAAGAAGGTGCACCCGCACCCCCAGACGTAGCACCCCCAAAGTCAGCAGGACCAGCACCAGCTCCCAGAAGACAAGAGTCTCCTGCAACCACGGGCTCAGCTCCAACTCTAGCACCCCCAGAGCTAGCACCTTTAGGGCCCTCTTCACGAGCACCGGCTCCCACAGGGTCTGCAGTAGGCTGCGAGGAGGACTGCGGGGAAGGAGGCTGCACCTGAGTGGCTACCGAGGAGGGAGGGGTAGCCTGGGACACACCTGACGGGGCGGGACTAGGGGGGGGAGGCTGTACCGGGTGAGCAGGAGGGGGAGCGGAAGTCAGGAAGAGAGGGGGAGGAGGAACCGGGAGACCTCGACTGGGGTACCTGACGTAGTAGGGGGTGGACTCCTCAAAACGGACGTCACGGGAGTCAAAGAACCGGTGAGAGGGAGGGTGGTAAAAGGTGAAGTCAGAGGAGTCCTCAGGGAAACCAAGGAAGACACAGGGAACGGCGCGAGGCGAGAGCTTGTCCGCGGAAGTGTCGCGGACAAGAGCCAAGCAACCCCAGACACGAAACCTCGTTGCAACACCAGGGGACCCGGTCCAAAGACTGGTCGGTGAAGCCTCTGGCCGAGAGACGCGTGGCCAGAGGTTCAGCTGGTGAGCGGCGTACCTAACCGCGTAGGGCCACAGAAAATGGGGGGCACGGGCGTGAGTCAAGGAGGTGCGGGCGATCTCCATGACCAAGCCTATGCGGCACTCAGCAACCCCATCTTGCTGTGGGGACTCTGGAAGCGTCCAGGACTGACGAATGCCCTGCTCGCGACAGAATCCAGCGAGGATGCCGGAGTGAAACTCACCCCCACGGTCAGAGTGAAGACAGCTGACACGACGACCACGAGTGCCCTTAGTGGTAAGCAACCACGTGATCAGCGTAGAAGTCACCTCAGACTTCTTTGCCAGGGGGAACACTGTGGTGTAGCGGGAGTAGTCGTCAACGACCAAAAAGAAACGCTCACGCTCATGGCCAAGGCGAGGGGCGGGGCCCCAGACGTCCAAGTGGAGCGTCTCAAAAGGCTCGATGGCCGGACGAAGGGAGGAGGAGTGAGGGGTGGCGCGCAGCCGATCCTCGACGCAGGGACTGCACACCGGTGCAAGCGAAGGTGACAACGACGGCAAGACACGCGGGAGGCCTAAGACAAGTCGCTGACAAGACATAGCGCGCAGACGAGGGAGGGACGGGTGCCCCGTCCGGTGGTGCCACAGAACGGTGGGGTGTGCAAGCGACCGGCAGGAGCACGACGCAGCAACTGGACCAGACATGGGAACCTGACCAGACACAGCTACCTGGGGGGACGCAGCAACCTGGTGACACGCAGGGACCAAACTGGGGGAAGTAACCGTGGCCGGGGGAAGGAGTCGCTGCTGCTGCTGCTATTGGTGCTGCCGCCGCCGCTGCCGCTGCTGCTGCTACTGCTGCTGCTGCTGCACACCAGGGTCAGTGTGAAGTGTGTAGAGACCTGAGCCCGGCTCTGCTGTAAAGGTGGCAAGAGGCGCGTAAGTGTCTCCGTCAACACAAACCGCCGTCTCACCAGAGGGCTCAATCCACACACCCACGTGCTGACTCACAAGAGGCCTCACGCCCACCAAGTTCCTCGAGAACGAGGGGACATGAAAGCCAGTCAGAGACCCAGAGGGAATAGCAAGGCACGGAAGAGTAGTAGTGTAGCGAGCAGTGACTGGTCCCGAGGTGGGATCAGCCAGTGCCACAGAGACTGGCGCAGGAAGCGGAGTAAGTGTCCTGTGGTCCCTGAAGAAGTAGTGCGAAGCCCCAGAGTCCAAAGTGAAAGACAGTGAAGCGTCCGCCGAACGAGCTCCTGGACTAGTGTCTACACAAGTGCCTAGACTAGCAAGAGGCAACTCAGCAAGACAAGCACCTAAGCTAGCAACACTCGAGCAAACAGAGTCAGGAGCACTAGAGTCAACAACACCATACATAGCATGAGTAGTTCCTAAGAGATCAAGCAACTGAGAAGTTGACATGCCCGAAAGGGCAGGGCCGTACGTCTGAACAAGAGGAAATCAGTCAGGGGCAGGGCCTCCAACGCCGTAGGCCAAGCGAACCGTGTCAGTGAGCTGAGCAAAGCACTAACCAGGAGGGTGGGTGCGACCACAAGGCTGGCCCCGGCGAGCACCTGTCAAAAGCTGATAGGTGCACGAAGGGTGAACAACACCTCGCTAAGGCTGACGCTGTCCTGGCCCCGAATCTCGCTGCTGCCGCTGCTGCTGCGGGGGCTGCTGCAAGGGGAGGGGCTGCTGCTGCTGCTGCTGCTGCCGCTGGGCCAGGTACCACGCCGCTGCTCCACCCGCCGCGGCCGGCAGACCAGAAGGTGGCTGACGAGCCCGGGCGTCGCCTCCACCAGCTGCAGTAGCGGGGTCACCGGCCGCTGCACAAGACGCCTCTCCAGGCCCTGCACTCCCGCCGCCACCAGTCGGCACGCCACCCCCGCCACCTCCACCGCCAACGCCTCCACCGCCGCCGCCACCTGTACCCTGACCGCCCCTCTTGCCACCTCTACCTCGAGACTGTGAAGAAGTCGTAACAGCAGCTGCGGTCACGTCAGTAGCAGTAGTGGTGAGAGAAGCTGTAAAGGTGGGCAACTGAGGGACAGTGCACCCGTGGAACAGTGGAGGGGGCACAACACCAGAGGCGGAGGCTACGGAGCAGAGGTTGCTCTCGATGTCCTTGAGCGCAGACTCAAGGACGTCGATAGTGAGCTCACTAGGGTGCTTCAGAAGAAGCGTGTCACGGACTGAGGCAAGGCGGTCAGGGAGGCTAGTGGCGATGAAGTAGATAGTAATCGCCATGGGGGGAGGGAGCAGCACAAGCTGTACGTCAGTGCAAGCAGCGCGGTAGCTAGAATCAAGCGAGCGGAGGTGAGCAATCAAGTCAGCAGAGCGCTCAAACGAGGCGAGGTCAGGGAACAGGAACGGTAGGAAGACTCGGCCAAGAGAGATAGTGGTGGGAGTAGTGTAGCGGGCCTTAATCGCAGTCAAGAACTCACTAGCAGTGCAAACCTGAGTGAAGTGGGCCTCCTCAGACTCAGGGAGGAGGCTGCTAAGAGCGATGCAGGCCGCAGCGTCACGCGACTTCCTCGCCGTTAGGTCAGCACGCTGGCTGGCAAAGCAGGCTCTAGCAGCGCCGTCAAGGGCAGAGCCTAAAGGCGTAGGGTCGTCGGGCGCAGGAAGGTCACCAGTAGCGTGCGCCCAGAGGGACTCACCCGCCTGGACCTGACTCTCTAAAAAGCGACGCGCGCGCAGGAGTCAGACCGAGAACTCGAGGGGTCGACCGTCAGCGTCAAAACGAAGAACTCTAGGAGTCGCCATAGTGGAAGTACGAGCGACAGGATGCGTAGTAGAGCAGAGGGAGGGCTCGCAGCAGGCCTAACAAGCAGGCGCAGCGGCGGAGAAAACGAGCAGACGTGGCAGCGCGAGCAAGCAGGCACGCGTGCAGAAAGAGACAAGACAGCACATCGGGCGAAGGGCGGGCGTGCGTAGAAACGGGCGCAGCGAGCAGTCAGGCGTAGGGCGCAGGGCGCGGGGAGGCGCGGGTGCAGGGCGCAGGGCGCGGGGAGGCAAGGGGCGCAGGGCGCAGTGTCAGAACATTATAGCTTATGCTTTTGTGTAGGCTGTAGTGGGGTAGCCCATATGGGGTACAACCCAATTAGGGTTAGTACTTGTACCCAACTGTTTCTAAGCTCATTCATTCTCGTTCACATTTTCTCATGGTATCGAGCAGGTTCCCCCGTGGGAACTGTGCCTACGGCCCACCACATCGACCTTTTTTTTTCCTGCCCGAAGCGTGCTCCGCCCGAGTCGCACTTCGTCGAGCCGCCCTAGCGGCCCTTTCCCCTAGCGGCCCCGCCGCCCTACCTCGCAGCCCCGCCGCCCTACCTCGCGGCCCCGCCTCCCTACCTCGCGGCCCCGCCGCCCTACCTCGCGGCCCCGCCGCCCTACCTTGCGGCCCCGCTGCCCTACCTCGCAGCCCCGCCGCCCTACCTCGCGGCCCCGCCGCCCTACCTCGCGGCCCCGCCGCCCTACCTTGCGGCTCCGTCGCCCTACTTCGCGGCCCCGGCGCCCTACCTCGCGGCCCTGCCGCCCTACCTCGCGGCCCCCCCCCCGCCCTACCTCTCGGCCCCACCACCTTACCTCGCGGCCCCGCCGCCCTACCTCGCGGCCCCGCCGCTCTACCTCGCGGCCCCGTTGCCCTACCTCGCGGCCCCGCCGCCTTGCTCAGCGGCCTTGCCGCCCTTCTGCACCGGCCCCACCGCCCTACTCCTGCGGCCCCGCCGCCCTACTCCTGCGGCCCCGCCGCCCTACTCCTGCGGCCCCGTCGCCCTACTCCTACGGCCCCGCCGCCCTACTCCTGCAGCCCCGCCGCCCTACTCAGCAGCCCCGGCACCGTTCACCAGCGGCCCTGCCGCCCTACACCGCCCGCGCCGCCCGAGCTGCCAAAAAAGCCCGAGCCGCCCGAGCCGCCCGAGCCGCCCGAGACACCCGAGCCGCCCGAGTCGCCCGAGCCGCCCGAGCCGCCTGAGCCACCTGAGCCGCCCGAGCCGCCCGAGCCGCCCGAACCGCCTGATCAGCCGAGTCGCTGGTGCCGCGGAGCCGCAGTCGCTACTGTGCCGTCCGAGCAGCCGTGTTGCCGGGTTACTGCACTACTAAGCTGCCCGACTTGCCCTGTCTAGTGAGACCAGCGCTTCTGTCACTGCACTGCCCCTGTCCTACAGTTGGTCTCACTAGTCTACTACTGTCATGGCTTCCCGTAGTGTTCTCGCTTTTGACGCTGAGGGTCGAGCCATTGACTTTGAGGTTTGGGTAGATGACCTGCAGCTCTTCTTACAGTGCAATAGGGCAGACGGTCTCTCCCTCTTTGACCTCACCTCTGGCGCCTCTCCTGCCCCTGCTGCTGATGCTGACCCCACTGTTTGCTCCCAATGGGCCACGCGCGATGCTGCTGCACGTCTTGCTGTGCGTCGCCACCTGCCTACCTCTGAGCGCGCGCACTTAAGTCAGTACAAGAGTGCTCACACCTTATACGACGCTGTAGTTGCGCGCTACTCTTCCCCTGCCACTACTGCACTGAGCCGCCTCATGCTACCGTACCTCTTTCCTGACCTTGCTGCCTTTCCCACAGTCGCTGACCTCGTTTCGCACCTCCGCACTACTGACACTCGCTACCGCGCCGCACTTCCTACTGAGTTCTGCGCCAAGAATCCCCCTCCCCATGTACATCACTCTCTATTATATCGTCACTCGCCTTCCTGACTCCCTTCGCGTAGTCAGGGACCACTTCCTCTCAGTCTATCCCACCACTCTCACTGTTGACCTCCTAGAGAAGGCCCTCCTAGCAGCGGAGAAGAGCATAGTCGCTGTAGGAGCCTCTCGTGGTGACCCTCGCACCCCCATCTTTGAGGGGTGTTCCCCTTCCCCCCTGTTGCCCTCTGTCGCCTCTGCTGCTGCGGCCGACCTCGTTGGTCTTTAGTCCGTCGGTGCGGCGTCTGCCCCTAGCGGGAGACGCTGCTCTGGCAAGGGCAAGGGGGGCAAGGGCGCGGGTGGGGCTAGCAGGGGTGGTGGAGGTGGCGGTGGGGGCGGCGGGGGGAGTGGGGGTGGCGGTGGGAGTGGTGCCGGGGGTGGAGGTGGCGGTGGCAGCGGCGGAGGCGGAGGCGGCGGTGGCAGTAGCGGTGGGAGCGGAGGCGGCGGTGGCGACGGAGGTGGAGGCGGCGGTGGTGGAGGAGGTGGAGCTGGTCGAGGTGGTACTTCTCGGCGGAGCGGCTCCGGAAGTGGTCAGCGCCAGCAGCAGCAGCAGCGTTCTCGGGACATCCCCCCTCCTCAGCAGCTCCGTGAGTGGTACATGCAGCGTCAGCGTGGTGGGGGTTTTGGCCCGTGCACCTACGTCCTCCGCTCCGGCGACGGCGCGGGTGAGCAGTGTGGGGGTGCTCACCCCACCCAGCGCTGCTTTAGCCGCCTGACGCACGCTTGGCGTCAGCAGTTCCCGGAGGCTAGTGAGATCCCCCGCTGGGGAGAGCTGTCTAGGGCAGGCATAGCTATCTTTGATCTTGACTTTGATGCTATCCTTGCAGCCATGTATGCTGTGACTATTAGTGATGAGGGTGACTGTTACCGGTGTTTCCCGCCCGACCCGGGCATTGGTACTGCTGCTCTAGGTGCTGGTGAGGCTGCAGCTCTAGGTGCCAGTGCGTCCGCCCCCTCAGGTGCTGGTGGTTTTGCGCTCTCAGGTACCACGTCGGCTTCGGCCTCCCTCACCTTCACACTTGACTCAGGGGCTTCTCGCTCCTTCTTTCGAGACCGCACCACACTCACGCCGCTTGGTCGGCCAGTTGCAGTCTCCCTGGCAGACCCCTCTGGGGGTCCTGTCCTCTCTCACTTCTCCACTGTCCTCCCGTGTCCGGCTGCCCCCTCTGGCACCTTGTCTGGTTTTTAACTCCCCTCGTTCTCTACAAACTTGGAGAGTGGTGCTGACCTGCAGGATACGGGGGTTCACCAGTTCACTCCTGCGAGTCTGCGGGTGACACACTGCACGGACGCTCGGACAAGCCGACACCTGGCCACGTTTACACGTCGGCCGGGGTCGAGCCTGTACACACTGACCACTGAGTCTCCTCCAGTCACTGCGTCTGGTCAGGTAGCTGCGTCGGGTCAAGTGTTTGCTGCAGCGTCCAGGTCTGGTCCTGAGTCTGCCCCCTGCTCGTGTCGCCTCCTGTCTCACGAGACTCTCCTCTGGCACCACCGTCTTGTTCACCCCTCCCTGCCTCGTCTCCGAGGCATGGCTTCCCGTGTCCTTGTCTCTGGTCTTCCCCGGTCCCTCCCTCCCCTTCCTTCGAGGTTTGGTCCTTCCTGTGTCCCCTGTGTCGAGGGGCGGCTCCGAGCTGCCCCTCACTCCTCTCAGTTTCCCCCGACAGAGGCCCCGCTACAGACGCTTCACATGGACGTGTGGGGCCCGGCCCGCGTCCGTGGACAGGGTCATGAGCGCTACTTCCTGCTGGTGGTTGACGACTACTCGCGTTACACCACAGTCTTCCCCTTGCGCAGCAAGGGTGATGTCACTGAGGTGTTGATCGACTGGATCCGCGCAGCTCGTCTCCAGCTCAAGAGGAGCTTCGGCTCGGACTTTCCTGTTCTACGTCTGCACTCTGACCGAGGCGGAGAGTTCTCCTCTGGCCTTCTGCGAGCCTACTGTCGTGCGCGAGGCATCCGCCAGACTTTTACGCTTCCGGACCCTCAACAGCAAAATGGGATTGCTGAGCGCCGCATTGGCATGGTCATGGACGTCGCCCGTACGTCCATGATGCATGCGGCTGCCCCCCATTTTCTGTGGCCGTTTGCGGTTCGGTACGCGGCGCATCAGATCAACCTTCACCCCAGGGTCTCCAGACCGGAGACCTCCCCAGCCTTGCTGTGGACGGGGAAGGTCGGCGATGCGTCTGCGTTCCGTGTCTGGGGATCTCGGGCGTTTGTCCGCGACTTGTTTGCGGACAAGCTGTCCCCTCGTGCTGCTCCTTGTGTCTTCCTTGGCTTCCCCCCTGACGCCCCTGGGTGGCAGTTCTACCACCCCACCTCTCGTCGTGTTCTGTCCTCCCAGGACGTCACGTTCGACGAGTCGGTACCCTACTACCGCCTCTTCCCCTACCGCACTCCGTCCCTCCCCCCGCCACCGCATTTCCTTGTGCCAGGTCCCCCCCCGGTAGACCCCCTCCCCCCTCAGGGTCCTGCCCCTTCAGGTGTGTCCCAGGTAGATGCAGTTGAGCCGGTCGAGGTTGCTGGTGACTGTGGTACTGCTGCGGGTGCTGAGCCTGGGGGTGCTGACTCTGGAGGTGATGCGCGCGTGGGTGCTGAGCCTGGAGGTGTTGCGTCTGGGGATGCTGCGACTGGGGGTGCTGAGCCTGGGGGTGCTGAGCCTGGGGGTGCTACGACTTGGGGTGCTGAGCCTGGGGGTGCTACGACTGGGGGTGCTGAGCCTGGGGGTCCTTCGCCTGGGGGTGCTGCGTCTGGAGCTGCTAAGCCTGGGGGTGCTGAGTCTGGAGCTACTGAGCCTGGGGGTGCGGAGCCCGCGGCCGCTGGACCTGCTCGTGTGGCGTCTGGCGGTGCTGGGCCTACTGGTTCTCTGGGTGCTTCGTCTCGGCGGGAGCCACTCTCTCCACAAGAGCTGCGCGAGTGGTTTGCCCGGCGCTGGAGGCGTACTACTGGAGCTGGTGCTTCTTCGGCTGCTGAGGGTGCTGGTGCCGCAGGTCTCGGAGGTGCTAGTCCTGCGAGTGCTACTGGAGTCGGAGCTGCTGAGGGTGTTGGCGCGGAGGCTACTGCTGTCAGTCCTGGCGGCGGTCCTTCTGCGGGGGCTACTGGTGCTGCTGGAGGTACTGGAGCTGGAGGTGCTGTTGACGCTGTTACTACCGCTGGGGGTGCTGGTGCTGTCCCTGCTGTGCCTGGAGTCGCCGCGCGGCCTCGGCCGTACTTTGTTCCGCTCCTTCAGCAGGTTCTTGGTCTTCCTCCTCCCTTAGAGTGTCCACCGCCTGTCCAGTCGCAGTCACAGTTACCGCCGGCCTCCCCACTGCCTTCTCCTTCTCTCTACACTGGTCCTACTGGAGGTCTTGCTGAGCGTTGTGAGCCTGCGTCTCCTCCTGCGTCGCCTGTTTGTGCTGCTTGCACTAGTGGTCGCAGTTCGCGTCAGCGTCCTCCTCCTGTCCCTGGCACGCACCGGATGTCTCTGCGTCCGTCCACTGCTCCTCTGCGTGCCCCCTTGCCCTCTCCTACTGAGTCCTCTCTTCCTGTGCTTGCCGACCCTGAGTCGGACTCTCTTCGTGCTGCCAGTCCTACTGTCACGCGTCTCCTTGCTACTGTCGTCACTGACCCCTCCTTTGAGTCCACTGCTGCGTCTGCTCTTGTTGCTGAGCTCGTCGACTTTGCTGCTCGCTGTCGTCTAGACTACGGTGCTAGTCTTGTTGCTGAGTCTGCGTCTGTCTGTCCTCCGTCCGTCAGGGGTGAGTGTGCTCTTGGCACGGACGTCCTTGAGGACAGGCAGGAGGAGTTCCAGTGCCTGGCTGCTGCTTCACCTCATCTCGCGTCTGTACTGCTTGCTCCTGAGGGAGACCCGGATGCACTAGACATCCCGACTTCGCGCTCTTACGCGGAGGCCGTAGAGGGTCCCTACTCCTCTCAGTGGCAGGCAGCTATGGATGCAGAGATGGCTTCCTGGAAGTCCACAGGCACCTACGTTGACGCGGTTCCCCCACCTGGGGCGAACATCGTCAGTGGCATGTGGATCTTCAGGGTGAAGCGGCCGCCGGGCTCTCCACCTGTCTTCAAGGCGCGGTACGTGACTCGTGGCTTCAGTCAGCAGCAGGGAGTTGACTACTTTCAGACCTTCTCTCCCACCCCGAAGATGACCACTCTTCGGGTGCTGCTACACGTAGCCGCTCAGCGTGACTACGAGCTTCACTCCCTTGACTTCAGCACTGCTTTCCTGCAGGGTAGCCTGCACGAGGAGATCTTGTTGCGCCGTCCACCTGGCTTCACTGGGACTTTCCCTCCTGGCACTTAGAGGAGCCTCCGACGGCTAGTCTACGGTCTCCGCCAGGCACCGCGCGAGTGGCACGACACACTGAGGACTACACTTGCGGCTCTTGGGTTTGCTCCCTCTACTGCTGACCCGTCGCTGTTTCTACGCACCGACACCTCTCTGCCGCCGTTCTACATCCTCGTGTACGTCGACGACTTGGTCTTTGCCACAGCTGACACTGCTGGACTCGCCCACGTGAAGTCCGAGCTGCAGAAGAGACACACGTGCACAGACCTGGGTGAACTGCGCAGCTACCTTGGCTTGCAGATCACCCGGGACAGAGCACGCCGCACCATTACCCTGACTCAGTCACACATGGTGCAGCAGGTCCTTCAGCGCTTCGGCTTCATGTACTCCTCGCCTCAGGCCACTCCTCTGTCTACTCGCCACTCGCTCTCAGCTCTGCCCTCGAATGAGTCCGTAGAGTCAAGTGGCCCATACCCAGAGCTTGTTGGCTGCCTCATGTACCTGATGACCTGCACACGACCTGACCTTGCATACCCTCTTAGCATTCTTGCACGCTATGTTGCTCCTGGGAGACACAGACCAGAGCACATGGCTGCAGCGAAGAGGGTGTTGCGCTACTTGTGCAGTACGTCGGGCATGGGGCTAGTGCTTGGAGGGCGGAGTCCAACGGTCCTCACTGGGCACGCGGACGCTTCTTGGGCAGACGACCAGGCTACGCAGCGGTCGTCACAGGGTCACACCTTCAGCCTTGGTTCCGGCTCTGTTTCGTGGCGGGCTACTTGCTCGTCTTATGTTCTCGGCTCCAGTTGTGAGGCTGAGATCTACGCCGGGGCCATGGCTGCACAGGAGCTTCGCTGGCTCACCTACCTGCTGTCTGACCTTGGAGAGCCGCCTCGTTCTCCTCCAGTGCTGTACGTAGACAACAAGGCCATGCTGGCCTTGTGTCGAGAGCAGAGACTGGAGCACAAAACGAAGCACATTGCTCTTCGCTACTTCCTTGCTCGTGAGCTGCAGCAGCGTGGTCAGTTGCGTCTTGCGTACGTGGCCTCTAAGGCCAACACTGCTGATATCTTCACCAAGGCACTTGCGCCTTGCGATCATCAGCGCTTCTGTACTCAGCTTGGTCTTGTGCCTGTCTTGCCTCACTTGCTCACCTCTTGACCTTGCTTGTACTGTTACATATATATACACCTGCTCTTGCTTGTCTAGCTTTCTATATATATGTACTCATGCATGTGAACTGGCCTTGTGGCCTTGAACTTGTGCTCGAAATGTGTGGTGACTTTGTGATCCACCCTGAGCTTGCTTTGCTTTGCTTTGCTTGACTGGTCTTGTGACCGCTTGTTCTCCCCCACTTTGCCTATGGGGGTGTGTCAGAACATTATAGCTTATGCTTTTGTGTAGGCTGTAGTGGGGTAGCCCATGTAGGGTACAACTCAATTAGGGTTAGTACTTGTACCCAACTGTTTCATAGCTCATTCATTCTCGTTCACATTTTCTCACGCAGGGCGCGGGGAGGTGCGGGCGCAGGGCCCAGGGCGTAGGGAGGCGACGGGCGACGGGCGCAGGGCGAGGGTAGGGACGCGACAGCGGGCAGGCGCGACGCGACGGGCGTTTAGGGCAGCGGGGGGAGGGCGCTTCGCGACGAGTAGCGGGGGAGGGCACGACGGGACGACATGGGGGGAGAGCGCGACGCGACGGGGGCCGGGGAAGGAGCGATTCGACGGGCAGCGGGGGGGAAAACGCGACTCGACGGGCAGCGGGGGGAAAAACGCGACTCGACGGGCAGCAGGGGGAGGGAAACGCGACGGCAGCAAGGGGGAAGGGGGGGGAGAAGGTCGCTACGCTATGAGAGCAGTGGATCGGCGGAACGAGTGGTAACGAACGAACGCGACTAGAGCGGGCCGGCGCTAGGCTCGTGCAAGACGTGCGCAACTAGTGCGACAGAGTGAGACAGGCTCGGGCGAAACGAACGAGGTCGGGAGAAGCGGGATCCCACAGGATCCGAACCTAGGTGATACCATGTCAAGAAAGGAAGTGATGATGTCATTGATGTGAGTTGGGGTACATATGACAAACCCTAACCTCTGTACCCCCTAAGACAAACCTCACTATAGGCTACAACATTTGACAGCAATGTCCCATGTCTTACACCTCTGCACCGAACCACTCGGCAAATTGACCCCAGTGACCATGAGTGTGTCTAAAATTTCCCGCGTCGCGCTCCCAACGTTAGGGGATTCACGCCGGGAATTTTGACGATGGGTTTCGCGTGGTTTCGCGTGGGTCTTGCTAGGATCTTTCGAACTGTTTTGGCATCCCTCCATTGGATGCGACTGTTGTGGGGAGCGTGATTTTGGCGCGAAAATCCTCGCGGCTCTTTGGGGGTCGCATGAGTTCGGATGACCCAAAGTGGTGTTTTATGTTGTTTGGGTCATCCGCAAATTGCGGATGCCCGGAACAGTGCTCATGACCCGAACATGGATACGCCCTCATACCCATATGACAAGCACGATGCCTTTACAAGTTGGTGAAAGCAAGCTTTCACAATCCACAGATTCAGTTAAAACCCCCCCGCACCCCCAGCCATGTATCTGTTTGTAACATGTTGCGAGCTAAACTCTACAGCATCACCAGCAGAAAGCAGAGGCAGACTGGATTTACTTGCGCTTTTAGACGATTCCCGCCGCGACAGCCCCTTGCCTTTCCCATCCCTTCCAACAGCACCCTCCTTCCCACTCTCTCCCGTCCCCTCCTTGCTCCCTGCTGGTCTGCCCACCTCTTGGTACCGATGCTTCTTCTTCTCCTTTCCACTCCCACCACCCCCTGCCTGGTCAACCCGCTGGGCAGGAGCCGAAACGGTCCTACTGAAACTCCTGCTACTGCCTGACCCAGACCCTCCTCCCCCTCCTCCTCCTCCACCTCCTCCCCCACTCCCTCCCCCGCCCCCACTCCCCCACCGGCCAGCAACAACAGCACCAGCAGCAGCACCACCAGCCGCAGCACCACCACCAGTAGAGGCAGAAGTAGGTAAGGGGCCGGCAAGCGTGGGTTGGAAGTTATACTTAGGCTCTTCTCCCTGAATATGCAAATCTTGCACCTTGTGCTGGATGGCGGAGAGGCGAGTTGCCACCTCAGCCATGGACGGTCGCTGGGCGGCACTCTTTTGGACGCACATGGCTGCCACGCTGGCGAGCGCTTTCATTGCTCCCAGGGGGTAGTTGTTTTCGAGGGCTGGATCGACCACTGACTTGAGCTTGCCTGCTGCTATCAGCGGAATGGCCTGGATGGAGGGAAGGGAGGGGAGGCACAGAGAGAGGGAGAGGAAGAGGGAGAGGGAGACAAGGGACAGCTTAGAGTCGACAGGCTTGAGCAGGGGTAGTTGTTTTCAAGGGCAGGGTCGACCACTGACTTGAGCTTGCCTGCTGCTATCAGGGGAATGGCCTGGATAGGGGGTAAGGGAAGGGAGGGAAGGAGGGGGCGTGCGAGAGGGAGAGAAGGGACAGCGTAGAGTCGACAGGTTCGAGCAGGAGTAGTTGTTTCCGAGGACCGGGTCTGCTACGGCCTTGAGCTTGCCTGCTGCTATCAGCGGAATGGCCTGGATGGATGGAGGGGTGGGGGAGGGGTGTGCGAGAGGGACACCAGAGACAGCTTAGTGTTGACTACAGACTTGAGCTTGCCTGCTGCTATCAGCGGAATGGCCTGGATGGATGGAGGGGTGGGGGAGGGGTGTGCGAGAGGGACACCAGAGACAGCTTAGTGTTGACTACAGACTTGAGCTTGCCTGCTGCTATCAGCGGAATGGCCTGGATGGACGGGTGGGAGGGGAGGGGAGGGAGAGGGAGAGGGAGAAAAAGACAAACTTGAGCTAGTGTAGTTGTATCCGAGGGCCGGGTCTGCTGCGAATTTCAGCTTCCCTGCTGCGATCAGAGGAATGGCCTGGATAGACGGGTGGGAAGGGAGGGAAGGGGCGTGCAAGAGGTAGAGGTAGGTAAGGGAGGACTTTGGATCACATGATGTTGCAGGAGTAATTTACAAGAAAGAAGAGAAAAAAAACATCATACCATACTGACAGTAATCATAAAGGAAAAAAAAAGGACAGAAAGAAAAAAAAGAAATAAGAAAAAAAGATCGAGAGACTCACCCAGCTGACGAGCGTCGTGATGACCCGCATGCTCGACTTGTTTTCTTCTTAAAGCCCAGCATATGGTAAAAAGGTGTGCAAGAGTAATAGTACCAACAATCGAGAGACTCACCCAGCTGACGAGCGTCGTGATGGCCCGCATACTCGACTTCTTGTTCTTCTTAAAGCCCAGCATCTCCATCTCCTTCTGCTGCTGCGTCTTCCCCCCCACGCCCGGTCTCAGCCACAGCAAAGCCGCCATGCTGCCTGCTATGCCCTTCTTTCTATTCTCAGATAAAATCGCCCGCTGCCCTGTAATCAGCTCCAAAAGAACCACGCCGAAACTATAAACATCACTTTTTGCCGACGCGATGTAGGTTTTTGAGTATTCCGGGTCGCAATACCCCGGGGTGCCCATGAGTCGGGTGTGGCTTACCCCCGCACCGCCCCCTCCTGGCCCTCCCAGATCAGCCGATTTCAGCAGCCCGAAATCCGCAATCTTCGCCTGGAGCTTATCTGTTAATAAGATATTATCCGATTTGATATCGCGGTGGATCACAGAATCGGCAGCGAAATCGTGCAGGTATCGCAGCCCCTCCGCGGCTCCTACAGCGATGCTCACTCTTTCATCAAACGTCAGAGGAGGTGGGAGGTCCAACGCACGCGCAGCAGCAGCAGAAGCGGCCTTGCTAGTCGAGGCAGATGACGGGTAGAGCTTGAAGAACGGCTTGCTGTCTTTGGCGTGGGCTTCGGAAGCGGGGTGGGAGGAGGCGACGTGGGAGGCGCTGCGGTGGAGGCGAGAGGAGAGCATGCCGCTGTGCATGAACTCGTAGACGAGGATTCGCTCGTCACAGTCCGCCCAGAAGCCTATGAGTCGCACGAGATGCTGGTGGGCCATGCGACTCATGAATGACACCTGGGAGAGGGAACGGTGGCAAGTGGTTGCAAGGAGTGACAAGGAGTGACCAGGAGTGGCAAAGTAGCCTATGAGACACACAAGGTGCTGATGGGCCATGCGACTGACCTCAAGCTGACTCACCTCTTTCTCAAACTCCTCAAGCTGCTCGTCTGAAACTGTGTTCGCACGCTTCACAGCCCATACCTCCCTTCCTGTTCGCATCAGAGCAGCTTTTCTCAATACCTCACCTCACCCACACCTTATCCACAGACTCTCACCTCTTTCTCAAACTCCTCCAGCTGCTCGTCTGAAACCGTATTCGCGCGCTTCACCGCCCACACCTCCCCGTTAGCAGCATCCCCTCTATAGACACACCCGAACCCGCCCTCTCCAAGCTTTCTCCTCGGATCCCACGAGTCTGTAGCTGCTAAAATCTCTTCCAAAGGGATTTGCCGGGACAGCCCTGCACCCATCACACCTATACTTATCCCCATGCCCATCCCCATCCCCATGCCCAAGCTCGATCCTGTTCCGAAGGGCCCGCCCATCCATGCCCAAGGGTTGGCAGTGGGGGGAGCCAGGCCCTGGGTTGGGCAGGAGGTTCGGTCGGAGGCTCGGTCGGAGGCTCGGCCAGACAGCTTGCCGAAGCTGAAGCTGCTGCCGTCCGAACCTGTGGCGTCGCTTCGGCCGCTCTCATATATGGTGCTCCCGATCTGCCCGCCTATTTTCCCTTCCCGCTGGGCTGCTATATCAGCAGCGGAGGGGGTGGTGGGAGTGCCGGGAAGGTTCGATCGACCAGTGGGAGTTCCTGCCCCACTAGAACCAGCAGCAGTAGCAGCGGCGGCGGCTGCGGCGGCGGCAGCGGCAGCGGCAGCTGCGGCTTTGGAAACCCTAACGTTCACTGCTGCTGCTCTCCCTCCTCCTACACCTCCTCCTCCTACCACCCCTCCTCTTACCCCACTGCCCTCGCTCATCCAACCCAACTCCCTCTCCACCAATCGCTGCTGCACTTTCTCCCTAAAGTCTGGGAGCACGAGACGGAGGAGTTCAGAGCGGTGACACATGAGCAGATCGGATTCCTTAGACCTAGGGGCGCCCAACTCGTTAAGAAGCATGGTCACCGGCACTACAGAGGGGATACAGGCCAGTGGGAGGTCGTCAGGGTCGCTACACCCCACCCACTTGGTGTACCAAATCAGATCTGATATGCAATCTAATAAGATCTGTGAGCACAGGCGCTGGTTGGGGCGACTGCTGCCTTGAGCCATGGAAGAAGATGCCCCTGCATGGTGAGGGGAGTGAGTAGATGGGAGGGAAGGATGGCAGTAAGAAGGGTGAATAGATGGATGAGTAAAAAGGTCTATTTTTGAGGCGCCTCAACAAGCGTGAGCACAGGCGCTGGTTGGGGCGAGTGCTGCCTGAGTCATGGAAAAGGATGCCAACAAGGGTGAATAGTAGGACATGCAGGAGAGTATAGGCACGAGTAACAATTTTTGAGGCGCCTCAAAAAACATGCAGGAGAGTATAGGCACGAGTAACAGGATAGACCCACACAAAGAGCAGTGTTCTTAGAAGCGTGATTACCATGATTGAAAGTTCCGCGTGAGGTTGCTGCAGGTTTGCCAACAGTGCTGCCGCCGCTGCTGCTCTTCCTGTTCTCGTCATCCCTTGCCAAGGGCCCTCTAGGCGATCTCGGTGATACCTCCCTGCTACTCTCATCCCCCCCTTCATCCTTCCCACTACTGAACCCACCAGCAGCGGCACCAACAGGACTAGGAGCAGCAGCAGCAGCAGCAGCAGTAGCAGCTGCTGCTGACTTAAACAGATTCCGTAGCTCCCCCATCCCATCGTCCCACACAATCACCTCTTTCAACGCGCCCCCTTCGTTACTGTCACACTCAGCACTCAGCCTAGCCCAGTCATTTTGAGGACACACCAGCAGAGGCACCTCCCTCCCCCCACCACCTCCCCCCGCACCAGATACAGCCTCCCCCAGCCCATCCCTACACGCAGATACACCCTCCCCAGCTGCCCCCGCAGCTTCTCCGCCCACCTTCCTCTGAACGCCTCCCAACTCCTGGCTATCCCTCAGAACCGTGAGATCCTCCTCTCCTGCCCCCTCTGCTGCTGCGCGAACGGCCTTCCCCAGGAGGGAAAGGCGGGCGAGGGAGCGAGCGTGGGTGATCCCAAGACCATACAGGGAGCCTTTACACGCTGAAAAGATTTCCTCTATCTCGTTTGAGATCTCTGTGAGGAGAGATAAGGCGGCTTGCTGCTGGAGTTGTAGCAGCTGCTGCACCTGTTGCTGCCGTTTCCCTGCTATGTGCTGCTGCTGCTCCTGCTGCTCCTGCTGCTGTTTGTCTGCTGTTTCCGCTGCACCTACTGCTGACTCTGCTGCTGCATCTGTCTCTGGTTGCGCTGCTGCCTGTGTCTGCGGCTCTTCTTCCTTCGCCTCTGGAAATACGGTCAACAGCTGTTGCGTCTCCTGCTTCACCCGCAGAGCAAACAGGCGCACCAGCAGCAGCGGGCAGCGGCGGGCGTCGCCCTGAAAGAGGGGAGCAGGGCGGAACAAGGAGGAAGGGGGGGGGGGTGACGGAAAGGGGGAAGCGATGAGGATCCTGGGAGTGCAATGGGAGTGATGCAATGAGCAAACAGGCGGACTAGCAGCAGAGGGCAGTGGCGGGCGTCGCCCTGAGAGAGAGGAGCGGAGCAAGGGGAGGGTGCAGAGGAGAGAGAGGGGGGCAGGGGAAAGAAGGGGAACAGGGGGAATCGTTCTGAGACGCTTTAGAGTGCTGCACCCGCAGGGCAAAGAGGCGGACTAGCAGCAGCAGGGAATGAAAGGGTGGCGCGGGCAGGGGCAGGAGAGGCGAACCGGGAGGGGAGGCGAGAGGGGGGAAGAAAAGGTGGGATGCGTTGTGAGAGAAACATTTGAAAGACCTCACCATCTGTTGGAGCTTCCAACGCATTTTCCAGCACCGCACCAACGCACTCCTTCTCACCTCATCTGAGCCGTTCATCGTCATTTCTTACCTCATCTGAGCCGTTCATCCTGTCCCGGGCCATGCCTGCCAGCTCATCCGCCATCTGCTGCAGCTCCTTCACCTCGCTGCCACGTGGCAGCGCGCCAGTGGTCAGCGGCGCCAGCAGCAGCGTGTCATACGCAGCCATGGCGTCTTGTACGGCGAAAAAGAGGTCGTTCCACTCCAACGCCAATGAGGGGCACGCTGTGAGGTCGAAGCACGATGAGCCTGAGAGGACAGGGGGGCGGGGAGGGGAGGAGATGGAGCAGCGGCAGCGTGTCATACGCAGCCATGGCGTCCTGTAGGGCGAAGAAGAGGTCATTCCACTCCAGCGCCAGTGAGGGGCATGCTGTGAGGTCGAAGCACGATGAGACTGAGGTAAACGATGGCGGAAGCAGGAGGCAGGTCAACACGAGGGAGGCCAACGCAGGGTTGGAAGGAGGTCAACGCAGGGGATTGGTGGAGGGTGGTCAACGCAGAGGGGAGGTGGCACCTACCAGGCAGGAAAGGCGCATCAGTCATAGACAGCTGCTCCGACCAATCCCGGCCCGGACTGCTCGTCGTAGACCCTCCCTCTCCTCCTCCGCCTCCCCCTCTCGCTCCCCCTCCCCTTCCACTGGGGACGGAAGCAGAAGCGGGCAGATGGGGCGTGATAGGCCCTGAGCCACCGGCTCTAGCCAGGGTAGGGGCTGTGGCGTCTGTAGAACCGTCAGGGACGGAAGAGGAGTGCGAGAGGGAGAGGTTCGAACGCAAGTCCGCGGATCGACGGCGGACGTGCGTGCGAGGAGGGGTGTCCGCAATCCCTCCTGCTGCACCTGCTGTTGCAACTCCTCCTGCTGCTGCTGCTGCTCCTGCTGCTGGAGCAGGGGAGGCTACCTGGGGGGAATGGAACCGTTGCAGGTATGCAGCGGCGCCTGCTCTACTGAAAGGCTCCGTCCTCATAACGGGACCGTCTGCACCGTGTATGGGGGACGTGCCCTTGCTCCCACCAGGGGTTGTCCCGCCAGACTTATGCTGAAACTGCTGTTTGCCAATAATGGGGACAGCCACTGTCCCCATATCATTCCCTAGACTAACCGCCCTCGCAATGCCGCTAATCCTTCCTCCTCCTCCGCCGCCCGCGGCTCCGCCTCCTCCACTGCCTGTTCCCGTGGACGGGCGGTATGGGCGGGTGGCGCTGCGGCTGAGGACGCCCCTGCTTCCGCCGCACATACTGCTGCCCCGCGCGCTGCTGCTGGCGATAGAACTGGATGTGAATATAGAGGATGACATGTGGCTCTGACCAATGGCGCTGCGATTATAGTCGTCTGCGAGAAATAACGGAAAGGACAACGGAATGGACGGTGGAGATTAAAGAACGAAAATTGACGCAGTCGGTGGCAACTGTGCGTTTGTCTGACGTGCACATCCCATAATTTTTGCAATATCGTGTGATAAGACGTCGCAAATCTGCTCTGCCTTTCAGTAAACAGTATACTTTTCCACAATAGCCTCTGCTCGTGACGGAGCTGGCATCGCGCCAAAGGAACAGACACGCAAAAAAAAAAAAAAAAAAAAAAAAAGACACGAACACGAGAAAAAAAAAACGGCTTACGAGAAAAACCAATGGTTTGTGCACCGTGGTCCGACTACTGTGACATTACCTGTGTCCCCATAAGCGTTGTTGTAGGGGTCGAGCTCGAGGACTCTATTATTGAGGTTCCTAAGAAAAAAAAAAATGGCGTGTATACCACGTCCCGTTACGTTACCTGTGTCTCCTTCGGCATCGTTCCAGGGGTCAAGCTCCGAGAGGCACGCGTTCAAGACTTGAAGCAGTCGCTCGCACTTCCACGCCACACGCGCACTGTGCCTCTCCGCATCCTTCTCCGCTTTCTCCGCCTCCTTCCCCGCATCGGGGACGGACAGTTCCGCGGTTTGCGCGACTCCTGCGTCATTGCTCTGCGACGTCTCAGAAGAAACGGCCGACGGTTCTGCAGATTGCGATACTCTAGCGGCTTCTCGCGAGTGATAAGCGCTTACAGCGGGGATAAGCGCGCCGAACGCGAGTTCGACCAACGATGCGGGACACGAGACATCGTTAGGGCCGGGAGACCCGACTCGACCGAGCAGCCATGTGCGCTTTTGCGAGGAACCAGTATGGATTCCACTCGCACTCGACATTGCATTACTATGTCAGAATATTAGAATATTATTACTAAGTAAGCGGCGTAGTCAAGGTTAGATTCAAGAGGCGTGGCTTTGGAACGGAAAGTGGAAACCTTCACAGCGGATATGTGTCTTAGCGCTTTGAGAGTAGCCTATGTCTGGGCAACGGTGAACATAAATTAGGGCATATATTTCTTAGGCTAGCTCAAGTTAGGAAAGTCAATTGCGTCAAATAGTTATCGCAAAAAGCAATGCCGTGCCGAGCTGGTGTCTAACTGCTTGGAAGCCTAACTTGCAAGCCTGCCCTGCTGAGTCAACTCGCCGTTCTGAGCTGGTTTCCTGCTGCTTGGCTCGCTGTCAGGAACAGCCAATGCTAGCAGAACAAGCGACTTCCGTTCCGTTCTGTTCTGTGTCTTGCTTGAATCGTCGAGCAAAGCGCCAACGCTGGTGGAGTCTGCGCTACTGTTCCCACCTTCGTCAAGCCTTCGGTGTTGTCGGCAATTTGCGAGACTTTTCGTCTGAAGTGTAGCTATTCGTCAATACGACTCGTGCCCAATTAAATGTCGTCGTTGTGCAGCGAACATCCTCGACTAATTATTTCTGCTTTCCATCTCACTCGTAACCAACTAACCTCTCAACTGTACTCCGAGCACGTAGAGCAGACAATATTTCTTCATCGTACGGCAGCCAGGACCTGGAGGTTGCGCCCACACTACCCACTGCACCCCGAGAACGGACGGGTGGGGCTGGAATACTGTACCAAGTTTCACATGCGGCACGACGCTGATTGATGGGGCAGTTTTTCAGGGTTATCCGATAAGCTCTAGAAGACGTGCATGAAATCGAGGTGATCCAGCCGTCCGTTTACTTGGATGGTGTCATCGTTACATGAGCCACAATGCGCCAATGTTGGTTTCCGCCAAGCTGTAGTACAAATGTTCTCGTTTATAGTCCGACGGATCCACATCGCCGCGCGCAGAAACCCCTTCAAACCCCAGGCAAAACGCGACACTTATAGTCCAGTTCAAGATAATTGCATGAAGAGTGGTTGTTTCGCTACTAGTTTCTGGATTTTGGCATTTACGTAGATTTGGACCGCGCTTGCTTCAACTTCCAGTCGCTTTGTTTTCCACGCTGATCAATGTCGCATGACGAAAGGTAAAAAAAAAAAAAACAAAATCAACTATAGTTTGGGGGTCGAATAGTGACCCAAAAACTTCCTTTTTACCCTGTAAGCGAGATAAATGAGATGTCATCGTCGATCGCGCTGGAGACAGCGCGACAGGATTGAGAAGTAGTCACGGTCAAGAGAAACAGTTACTCACAATTTATAAGCTAAAATATCGAACCGATGATCCCTTCTTCATCGCTCTCCTTGAATGTTGGGCTGGTTTGATCTGGAGCCTCTGATTGGCTGCGGAGCTGATTCGTACAATGATTCGGTCAAGCTGCAAATTTTTCCGCCAAAAAAGGGACTATTAGGGGTCAGGCCAACCCTAGACGATATCGGAAAATTCTACTCAGGGGGGAAAAGTGACTCTTTTAGCGAAGGCCTCTAACCCGGAACATTTGTACAAACGGCCAGCTGGTTGGTCCCCTAAAGAAGTCTGGGCAGGGCACAGCTGACAAGGAAATTGCTGCCCGTCCGTCAAAAGCCACGAACGTTGCGTTGTACGAAGGGTCCTGCGTGCTGCTGAATCTAGTCTTTCGCCGGCGAGTAACCAGCTGGCGATCGCAAGGATTTTCGTCAACGTCTGGAACCTACGTTTAGCTTGGGCTGGCGGGAAACGAGGAATTCTTGGGATTTATGAAGATCTGTCCGGAAAAAGCAGCAAAAACACACAACACCAACACACACCCAGCACATCATGAGTTCCCAGCATTAGATGGCGTCAGCTTGAAGCAGTTTTGTCCTTGATTCAAGCGTAGTCAGAGCTGCGCAGTAATATTGTTAGTGCATTGGGCCAGTATTAGTTTCTATTAGATTCTCCTAGCTCCGTTGGGCCACCTATGCGTTCGTCTGGTCCCATAGTCGCACTGATAGCGAGATTCCGCTTCTTTTTTAGATGTGTTCATTACTAATTCCCAGAAAGCCACGCCCAGAATTGTAGGCTATATGAATTTATGGATGTCGAGTATGTAATCGTTTTCGAGATTACGACACAGCTAGCAAAAAACGGAGCGTCGGGACTGTTGAGCTACGAAGTGTGGAATTTTCATATATATTAGTCCCTGCATGTAAATGTGGTTGTGCGTGAAGTTATGGCACCAATAGCGGGAAATGGAGCGTCGGGATCAGCGAGTCTTTACAAGGTGTGGGAGATCAGAGCGCTGAAGCGGCAGAAGCGGAGCGACGAGGCGAGAAGCCTGCTGGAGCGAGTGGCGAAGCAGGTTGAGCCGATTATGATCCGGCGCCGATGGAAGGTGCCGCTGCTGTCTGAATTCAGGTTCGAGCCTCAGTAGACGCGTTAAAAACAGGTTGGTTATTTACTCGTCTCAACAAGAGAAGCCTGTTGTAGCGAGTCGCTACGCAGGTGGAGCCGATTATGGTCCTCGTTCACACTCGCACCATGATTAGCTTTTGACTGTTCCCCCTCCCACAGTCCCAGCAATGCTCGGCTCCTGGGTCTCAACATCAACCGAGGCCGGGAGATTCGAATACGACTCAGACCCGCAGGCAAGCGTTGGGAACTATCGGGAGTTGTACCTGACATTTGTTCATGCTTATTGTCAACCTGCTAGTGATTCGACTCAGACGGTCAGGATAGCTAGATTCGCCCTTCCCTTACAAGCGTGAGCTGCGAACCACCGCGGACGAGCTCATTGCAAGTAGGGGTTGACCTTGACCGGCAGGCAATCAAACTATCCCATTCCTTCGAAGAAAGCATCGAGCACCTCCCTTCATAACTGCTGATTAGTTAGATCGTGTCAATTCACACACAATCTGCAAGCTCTCGTATGAGCTGACCAGCTGCAACTTTTGAGTTGCCCTTCCTTTTCTTTCTTTCTTTCTTTCATTCTTTTCCTGCAATCTTGATTCACTGAACAGGCAAGCCGGACTCATTCTTCCCATACGAGCATGTGTTGGGCACCATGCTTCACGAGCTCACTCACATCGAACGAGGCCCCCACGATGCCAAGTTCTACAAGCTACTAGACGAACTCAATGAGGTAAGTGCAGTAACGCGCTCGTCCTCTCCGTCTTCCACTTCAGGGTGGCAATGCCCCCTCGTCCCATCCACGCATGTGCTGCTTTGACCAAGTGACTTTTGAGTCTACTCAAAAGTCACTCCGTCTTCCACTTCAGTGTAGCAATGCCCCCTCGTCCCATCCAAGCATGTGCTATTTGGAGTTCCCACAAGCATAGGCTGGAGGCTGGACAAACCTTTTTCGTGCGTGTGTCTCTCATTGCCCAAACCCATATGAGCAGGAGTGTGATGATCTCATAGCACGAGGCATAACAGGAACGCCCTTTGGGGGATCTGGTCACCGCCTCGGCTCCTCTGCTTACCCCTCCATTCGCCCAGTCCGCTTAGGCACTGCTGCTGCTGCTGCTGCTGCCAGCGCTGCTGATTCTTCCTCTTTCAGGGTTGTTACCCCTGCTGGCCCTTCTTCTGCCCCGTCTGCTGCTGACGGGGCGAGCAGAAAAGCAGCGGCAGCAGCGGCGGAGCGGAGGCGGCAGCAGCAGCGGATCATGATGCCTGTGGGCGGGCGGCGATTGGGCGGCGACAGTGAGATTATGAAGGTGTTGAGTCCGGTGCAGGCAGCTGCTATGGCAGCAGAGAGAAGGATGAGGGACGATGTGTGGTGTGGTGGGCATGGGAGCGAGGGAGGGGAGGGAGGAGAGGGAGGGGATAGGGGTCAAGGCGGGGCGAGGGAAAAGGAAGAGGAGGAGTGGGAGAGTGCAAGGGAAGTGAGAGAGGGTAATGCGTCACAGCAGCGTGCAAACGATGTTAGACACGATGATAGAGTTGATGGTAGAGATGATGGTAGAGGAGGAATGGCAATGGGTGAAGGTCATGGTGGTGCTGTTGGTTCTGGGTTGGAGGGGGATGAAATAGGGGCAGGCAGAGGGAGGGTGAGGAGTGGAAGTGCGCAGAGTGACGCGTCCAGGCATCAGGACTGTGACTGTAACGGTGGTTGTGATTGTGTACAAGGTGCAAATGGCTTCAGAACGGGGGAGGCGAGCCAGGCTGGTGGGGCAAGGAAGCGGCCAAGTGTGACTGAGGAGCAGAGCAGTAGGAGCAGAAAGATGCCTGCAAGCAGTGCTGTAGCAAGTAAGAGAGCTGATGCGGCCAGAGAAAGATTCACAGATGGGTCTAGAGGGGGCGATGTGTCAGGAGGAGAGCAGCAGGCAGCGGGAGCAGGCAGGGCAGAGGGAGCAGAGGGTGTGGGGAGAGAAGACAACTGGACGTGCCGTGTTTGCACACTGATTAACCGGGTGAGTTAGGAGCTTTTAACATGTGTGTGTGGGGGGGAAAAGAGTGGGGGGAGAGGGGAGTGTGTGCGTGTGTGCATGTGCATGCGGGCATGCAGTTGAATCCATTCAGGCAGTCAATGACCATCACACACACAGTATGGTACCTGCCCTGTCGGTTCCAATATGAGGAAGCACTTGGTACAGTGCGCCTCAGCGTGAATCATGCCTTATGATTTTTCTTTTATTTATTTATTTCTTTTCTTTTTTTCCTGTAGGGCATTGTGCTACAGTGCGAGGCGTGCCTTGCAGTGCGACCGCATTCAGGCCCGGCCAGTTCTCGCGCAGCAGTGACCGCTGCTTCCACGCCCCCCACCACCGCTGCTGGTGCTGCTGCTGCTGGTACCAGTGCCGATGCAGCCATTGTAATCGAGGATTACCCTGCTGCTGCAATCACTGGCTGTGGCAGTGCTGCAGTCATTACTGACAGTGCTGCAGTCATTGCTGACAGTGCTGCTGCCCCGGGGGCCATGTGGACTTGTACGCTGTGCACGCTAGAGAATGCTGCTGCTGCAGATCGATGCCTGGCCTGTGACTCACTGAAAGTCGCTCAGACATGATGCCATATCAACTCATTGATGCCTCTCACGCATAATAATCTCAACACAAGTGCGGTAAACTCAACACATGTAATCTCAATGCATGTGCTCCTGTAGCTGTTGGTGGTAGTGCTGTGCTGCCATAAGGATAAGGTCCATATGGACGTGTGGACAGTGCACGCTAGGGAATGGTGGTGGTGGTGGTGGTGGTGGTGGTGGTGGTGGTGCTGCTGCTGCTGCTGCTGCTGCTGGTGCTGTGGACCACGCTGCCAGGTGACTTTTGAGTCGACTCAAAAGTCACCTCATGTAATCTCAACGCATGTGCTTCTGTTGCTGTTGGTGGAAGTGCTGTGCTGCCATGAGGATGAGGTCCATGAAGACGTGTGGGCAGTGCGCGCTAGAGAATGGTGCTGCTGCTGCTGCTGCTGCTGCTGTGGACCACACTGCCAGGCCAGTCACTCATGGAGATGCACGTGGTTCCGTGATACATACCGTACAACTGCACCAGAGTCAGTTCCGGTCACCCATTGAATTGACAGCATTCAATAGCCATGCCAGTGGTGAAGCCACACACATACGGTATGTTCGCAGATACCGTATGTTAGCAGTCCAGTGGACCACGTCGCGCTCCCTGGTCTGTGACTCGCAGGATTTCTTTCATTTTTTTTCATCAAGCAATGTGGCTTCACTGTGCCCGCTCAATTCACTCTTAGACACATGCACTTGCGCGACTGAGCATGGTTATTAGGAGTCCATACATACGGTACTGTACTGCAGAGCACAGCAACTGGTCTTAGACAGACTATAGCTGCAATCATTGCAAGAGCAATGAAGCAAGTGAATCTGCTGCAACAGCAGAAACCATGCGCAAGCCTTTCAGGTGCACTCTCCTATCTGAAAGCCACGTGATGACCCTCAGTTTGTCTCACCGCCTCTTGTACCTGCCAGAAGGAGAACAGAGCGCAAGGGAAAGACGAAAATGCATGCATGTCAAGTCAGAATGCTAAGGGAGGGCCAAACAATATGGGGTTAAAAGGACTAAACCCTAAACCCTGGAAAGTGGGGACCAAAGGGGCCCGCCACCGTCCTCTTGGAGACTTCTCAAACAGTCATGAGGTAACAGTCAAGAGGTAACAGCCAAGAGGATGACAGACAGACTCACCGCTTCTTGCTCTTGAAAGTCCCCCCAGCCTTCCCCCTCCCCTTCACTTCCCCCCCAGCCCCTCCCCCTCCTTTCCCCTTGGCCATATCCGTCTGAAACAGATCCTTCATCTCTCGGGACCGGGACGGCGTTTTCTGCTTCGGTTTCTTCCCAGCTGCCCGGCCGCCCGCCTTGGGCAGGCTGACAATCTTCCCAGCTGCCCGGAGCCGCTCTGCGGATTTGATTGCCTTGGCCTTGCGGTAAGCCAGATCGGCTCTTGTCTTTCCTCCAGCCTTGGGTTTGCCATCAGATGCTTCATCCAACCCGAACTCCTGTGCTTCTGCCTCCTCCTCTTGCGCCTGCCTCTCTGCCTCTAGCTTTCTGCGTTTCTTTCTTGGGAGGGATTTCTGGATGGGGGGAAAGAAAGAGAAAGGGTGAGGGAGGGGGAGGAGGGAGGGGGGCGGCCAAAGGTGAAAAGATCCGAATTTTTTTCAGCTTCATCCAGCCCGAAGGCTTTTGTGCCTGGGCTCTTGTCTTTCCTCCAGCCTTGGGTTTGCCATCAGATGCTTCATCCAACCCAAACTCCTGTGCCTCTGCCTCCTCCTCTTGAGCCTGCCTCTCTGCCTCTAGCTTTCTGCACTTCTTCCTAAGGAGCAATTTCTCGAAGGGGAGAAGAAATGATAAGTTAGAGGGAGGGGGAGGGGGAAGGGCGAGGGACGATGTGAGCAAGAGCAGGCAATTTCAATTCATCCAGCCCAAAGGCCTGGTGACTTTTGAGTCATCCAGGCCTGTGCATCCAGGCCTGTGCATCCAGGCCTGTGCATCCAGCAAGAGTCGACTCAAAAGTCATCCAGCCCAAAGGCCTGTGCTAAGGCCCCCTCCTCCTCTTGTTGTGCCTGCCTCTCTGCCTCTAGCTTTCTGCAGGGATTTCTGGAACAGGGAGAGGAAAAGGGCAAGGACAACGGAGAGGGAAGAGGGGATGGGAGGCAAGGGGGGGCGGAGAGTGAGACGAGAGGAGGAGGGTACAGGTTAGTTGGGAGTGCAGGTGCATCATCCGGCCCCAAGGCTTGTGCTTCTGCTTCCTCCCCTTGTGCCTGCCTCTTTGCCGCCAGCTTCCGCCTCCCACCCCTAATGTTTGTTTCACCTCCCACCCCTAGTGTTTGTTTCACCTCCCACATCTCAGCAACACATTGCTCACCTCTCGCTGCTTCTTCAGCTTCTCCTTCCTCCTCTTCTCCTGCACCTCCTCCAGTGAAAGCACCTTCCCTCCTCCCTTCCCTCCCCCTTTCCCACTGCCGCCCTCCCCGCCCTCTGCCTCAGCGTCAGCCACAGCCTTAGCCGCCTCTGCCACTGCCTCCTTCTCCCTCTTGCTCTGGAACCACGTGCGCTTGGGCTTGGCGAATATCTCATCGCGATGAGTCAGCATGTTCTCAGCCTGACGTGGCAGCAGGGAGGGGTTGAGCGGAAAGGGAGATGAGAAGCAAGGAGAGCAGCTGGAGTCATGTCCTCAAAGTTCTGAAAGAAAAAAAGGCGCTTCAAAGTTAAAACTAGCAAGAAGAACAGTGTGTGTCAAACCCTTCGGTTTGACAAGTCGCAAAACTAGACACAGCAGCTTCAACTCCCCGGGTCAACCCACCTACCCCGGCCGACCCGCCAGCCTGCCCACCCACCCACCTGCCCGCCCGCCCACCCACCCACCTTGACTGCTTCCATCTCTGCCTTTCGCAGCACCCGTTCCTCCCTCTCCTGCTTCATAACAGCCGCTACATCCCTCTCCATGCCCTCCACTCGCTGCCTCCACCGCTCCACAGCCGCTTGGGCTATCTGCCGCTGCTTCAGCTTCCTGCCTGCTCGCTTTGTCTGCAGGGAGAGAGAGTGGGAGGGAGAGGAAGGGAGGGAGGGGAAGGAAGAGAAAGTGGGACTGCAGGCTGAGATGGGGAACATCACAGAATGCCATCCCACGTCCCTCTCCATGCCCTCCACTCACTGCCTCCACCGCTCCACCGCCGCTTGCGCTATCTGCCGCTGCCTCAGCTTCCTTCCTGCCCGCCTCGTCTGGTGTGACGTGCATGGGGGAAAACGGTGCAGGGTGTGGAAGAAGGATAGATGGGATGGGACACCACATCAGTCAATGCCATCCCACATCCCTCTCCATGCCCTCCACTTGCTGCCTCCACCGCTCCACAGCCACTTGCGCTATCTGTCGCTGCTTCAGCTTCCTGCCTGCTCGCCTCGTCTGTGGTAAGAGAGAGTGGAACGGGGGTGCAGAGAGAACGAGGCGTACCAGGTGTTAGGACATAAGGCTCTCACTTAGTGACTTTTGAGTCGACTCAAAAGTCACGAGGCGCACCAGGCGTTAGGACATAAGGCTCTCACTTCACATCACCTCACATCACATCACATCACATCACATCACATCACATCACATCACATCACATCACATCACATCACATCACATCACATCACATCACATCACATCACATCACATCACATCATGCTGACATACCTTGTACAAACACTCTTCTCCCTTCCACCTCGCCTCCTCATCTCATCCCTTCTTCCCCGCCATTTCCTTGCTCTCACCATCGCTTTCAGCAGCCTTCGGTCCTTCTCCCCCACGAAGGTCACTGACGATCCGCCCTTCCCTGCCCTCCCTTTCCCTCCTTCACCTTCTCTTCCAGCCTTGCACAATGCACTCTCCTTCCCCTCCCCCACTACTCACCATCGCTTTCAGCAGCCTTCGGTCCTTCTCCCCCACGAAGGTCACTGACGATCCCAGCTTGCCTGCCCGTGCTGTCCGCCCCACTCGGTGCACGTAGCTGGGGAGCACAGGGGAGGAGACGGGAAGGCGGGGGAGGAGGGGTTGGAGAAGGCAGGAGGGGATGAGTATGTTAGGGGAAGGGTGTGTAAGCCCTAGCTTCCCTGCCCTGCCCATGCTGTCCTCCCCACTCGGTGCACGTAGCCGGGGAAAGGGGAGATGGGTGGGGGCGTTTGGAGGAGAATAGAGAAAGGATGGGGATGATATGGGATGGGAGGTAGCAGACACGAGGAATGAAAAACGACAGGGGAATGCATATAAGTAACAGAGATGAAGGTATAGTGTGCGATCTGCTGACCACTGCAATTTTGAAACCACTCACTTGGTGATTTCACGGGGTGTGTGGTAGTTGATGACTGTTTGCACTCCAGCAATGTCCAAACCCTGAATGGAGTCCGGGGGAGGAGAGGTTGGGAAATGCGGGGAATGAAAAGGACAATGGAAAAGATGGGATTATTAATGAGATGTCTCAAAACGAATACTTAAGGACACTTAACCGGTCACAAAAACGACTAGCAAAAGACAAAGAAGTAGCAAAAACGAGAGAAAAAAAAGGCCTTATAAAACGCAATCGTTGCACACGCACCCTGGCAGCGACATCAGTGGCAATAAGGAAGTCCACATCGTGCGTCCGAAATCGTTCCAAGGCCTGGACGCAAGGGGGTGCAGCAAAGCAAGGACAGCAGGGAAACAAGGAAACGTGCACACAGAAACGTGCAGTGAGATTCTAATGGGTAGTGGCGTGTGCAGGCTGGCAGCGACATCAGTGGCAATAAGGAAGTCCACATCGTGCGTCCGAAATCGTTCCAACGCCTGAGTGGAGAAAGGAGGCAAAGAGGCACGAGCGGGGAAAGGAGGCAGGAACGATTTTTTAGGCGCCTCAAAAGCGGCAACATCAGTGGCGAGGCGATGAGAAAGTCCACATCGTGCACAGTGGACTAGATGCACTTCTGTGCACATCGTGCATGCAGAACCGCTTCAAGAATGAAGCAAGCACGCGTGCATGCCCAATCCTTAAGGTGCATGTCGACATCGTGCATGCAGAACCGCATGCAAGGCCTGAGTGGGGGGAAGCAAGTAGGCAGGAAACGCGCACACAGATAAACGTGAGATTCGGTTCTGATTGCTAGCAGCGTGTGTAGGCTGGCAGCAACATCAGTGGCGATGGGAAAGTCCACATCGTGCATGCAGAACCGCATGCAAGGATTGTGCATGCAAGGATTGGGCATGCACACGGGGCAAGCAAGCAGGAAACGCGCAGACAGACGTGTGAGGTGAGGTTCTCATGGGTAGTGGCTTGCAGGCTGGCTGCAACGTC